TGCTCTGAATGAGAGGCAGATTCACTCTCTGACAGCAGGAGGCGCTTCTAGAACACCACATACGCGTTTCCTTGGTTACCGCTGTAAACAAAGCAGCACTGCGCTGAAACACTGCTTTAACATGAACTATACAGAGACGAGATGAAAAGAAAATACCATTAAACTTTTCTGAAGACAGTGTTCACCTCAGAGATACATTCATATAAACTCCCGCCCCTGACTGTATCACGATTCATTTAACATCTCAACTGACTTTATTCAACTGAATCGTCACATATTTATAGATTTTCAACCGGCTCAGGGGTGCATCGTTACATCTCTAAAGACGATTTGCTTGCAAAAAGACAAAAAACGGCCGGTTGCCAATAGTGTAAGTTCCAGGGGAAGCTCCTTAAGTTCGGCCATCCTACACACACGTGACTGACCGCTCGCTCGCACCAACAGGAGGAGGAGGGTCGTGCTACTCTCTACACTGCCCTCAACCTGAGGGATTCCTACACTTTCAGTCTTTGAGGAGACATGAAAAACAGCGCATACCGCAGGAACGGTATAATGGAAAATATTAGCGGTTTTGAAACCGTGAAATTGTCAAATCGTGGTATACCTTGAAACCGGTAATCGGCCCATGCCTATATACTAACGATAATAGGTGAGCGCCAGCCAATGAGATTGCCGTTTACGCATTAGTTCCGCCCACTACCAGAGAAACCGGTAGTATCTTATGGTTGTTCTTAAAAGCTGAAGAATTCCAAATGAACTTATGTATGATAAGCTACCACTAAATATTGTAGAAACTTAATTTGCTGTAAAGTTGCTTTGCAATGATTTGTATCGTGAAAAGTGCTGTACAAATAAACTTGAATTGAATTTAATTGAATGTAATTTATGTATGATAAGCTACCACTAAATATTGTAGAAACTTAATTTGCTGTAAAGTTGCTTTGCAATGATTTGTATCGTGAAAAGTGCTGTACAAATAAACTTGAATTGAATTTAATTGAATGTAATTTTGACAGGAAAATACAACAAGGAATATCGTTTACATGTAGCACGTCAATTCTGCATGGTATGTAAAACTCTCTCACTCTACCTCTCTTTGCATGTGTGTAAGAAACAGCGCTTTCAGCAAAGTAACGGCGAGTCATGCGCCTTCACACTAGAATTTACGGTATGTCAAATACAGGTACGCTGCACATCCATTGAGATGAATTGAAAAATAGCACAGATCGCTTGACGGAGAGTGAAACTCTGAAGCGCTGTCAGCACATATGCGAGTGATTTACTTGCATTGTAGAGGGTTGATCATTACTGTTAACCAACCAGCTGACGCATTCCTGAATCATTGCAAAAGCACATATGTGTATTTTGATGCACGGTGCAAACGCAGATCACTCAGCTTACAAAACGGTTTAAATATTTGTGCATTTTTTTTGCATGAAACTGTGAATTGCAGTGTGCATTAGTGAGGTTTTGATACGGTTTAAACGTCATAATTAGTGGAATGTAAGTGGCTGGATGGCAGAGAATTACGCCCCCATCCCCCTTCTCTTCACAGCTTTTCACACCGATTGTTTTTGCGCTTTTCCAAACCTGTGGTGAGATCTGACCCAAACTGAAATGGGGGGTTTCATGACACTTAGAGTGTTAACTATCCATCTAAAACAGGGGAAGATATGTTGACATAATACAGAACCCGTAAGACAAAATGCAAATTCACTTGATGTGTGATCTCCCTTTATAAAAGCCTGAAGGCTCACATTTCCAAAGCTATTAAAATGTACCAAGCAATTAGGATTTTAAACATGGGCACATCCTAAGAAACGCATTCTGAGAGCAAGGACAGGATCTCACTTTCGTAGAGTGGGAAAAAAAAATGGTTAAAATGCTCTAAAAATAAATCTTAATTTTAGGAAAATGTAATACATTATTACAGTATATTAAATCTATTTTTATAAATTATATAATGGAGCTCTATTTCTGGGTTTCTCAGTTGGGTAAACTTCTATAGCAGTGAATGGGAGACTACCTCGAATATATATTTTTTGCGTTATTTGCTTAAATAGCAAAAGAAAAACACCAAGATACTGTTTTCACAACTTTCAAAAAGAGGAAGAAAATATAGAGAAACCGATAACAGCAGTCAGAAGAGAGAAAAATGTCAAATTTACCATCACTCCTATAGCTGATGTATTAGATAAAACCTTAAAGCAGAATTAACTTACAATATATAAATATTTTTTATTGAAATATATAAAACTTCAGGATTTAAAATGCTGATGACTGTTGAAACGCATCACAGTCTGTAAAAAGGGTCCATGAATTATAATGTATCCATAGATATTAAATATTATAATGATTATAAAAACCAAAAAAAAAAAAAAAACTTTCCTAAACAGCACAGTAATATTTGAGAAAATGTGTTAAAGGATGCCTTCTAATACAGGAAGAATCTCTCTTATGGATTTGTTGGCAAGCTGGCACATTAATGAGCTGCATTCAACACCTGCCTCCTGACACTCTATTCCCCCCTGAGACACCCCTCCGCTCCTAACAGTTCCCAGAACCAATGACAACATATGACACCATGCTCACCGTGCATGGTCCTGATACACTCGAAGCCCTGGAAGTCCCAGAGCTTAATGGTCATGTCCGCTGAACAGGAGGCTAGCAGCTTTCCAGTATGGTCAAAGGAAATGTCCTGCACAGAGTCTGTGTGGCCCTTGAGGGTCCGCTCAAAGTCACCCGTTTCATAGTCCCATACCTGGATCAGACATAAAAAACACATGCTTTAGCCCAAGATGAACATCTCTTCAATAAACAAAAAAAGCCATTAGCTTGTTTGGCAGCTTGTAATGATGATAAGGTAAAGCATAAAAGACAGGTCTGGGCTTGTAGCTGCTATTATATATTCAGCAAAACATTTGTCATGCAGCCAGCTTTTAAAAACCATCAAACATGCCAGATTGCCCTCTGGATACAATCTGAACATTTCATTCAGACTTTATCTGCCTCAAGAAAGAATTGTCAGAATAAAAAAAAAAAAACTTTCCTAAACGGCACAGTAATATTTGAGAAAATGTGTTAAAGGATGCCTTCTAATACAGGAAGAATCTCTCTTATGGATTTGTTGGCAAGCTGGCACATTAATGAGCTGCATTCAACACCTGCCTCCTGACACTCTATTCCCCCCTGAGACGCCCCTCCGCACCTAACAGCTCCTAGAACCAATGACAACATATGACACCATGCTCACCGTGCATGGTCCTGATACACTCAAAGCCCTGGAAGTCCCAGAGCTTAATGGTCATGTCCGCTGAACAGGAGGCTAGCAGCTTTCCAGTATGGTCAAAGGAAATGTCCTGCACAGAGTCTGTGTGGCCCTTGAGGGTCCGCTCAAAGTCACCCGTTTCATAGTCCCATACCTGGATCAGACACAAAATACATGTTTTAGCCCAAGATGAGCATCTTTTCAATAAAAAAGCCATTAACTTGTTTGGCAGCTTGTTATGATAAGGTAAAGCATAAAAGGCAGGTCTGGGCTTGTAGCTGCTATTATATATTCAGTGAAACATCTGTCATAAAGCCAGATTTTAAACACCATCTAAGATGCCAGACTGCCCTCTGGATACAATCTGAACATTTCATTCAGAATATTTGGACATCATGTTTTCCCTAAATTCAGTTTTCATAATTTTCTTTATCATTAAAGCATTTTTGTGAAGTGAGTTGAATGTTATCTGCTTGTTCGCCTGGATGCAGCAGTATGATAAACAGCCTCAGGGCTTAATGTGAAGATCAGGTTTCAGCAGTTTCTAGGCGGCAGACACACAGGGATAAGCTCTGTCTGCTGCACAGGGGGCCGGTGAAAGAAGCCCTTCCACCTGCTTATCTGTTTCCTGCTTCCAAAGAGGGAGACAGAACTCAAGTCGTGTTCTGATAGAAAAAATGCACAAGAAAAGCCTGATGTGGCACACCTGGGTTACTCATGCAAGTAAGCTTTAACCAAGTAGCTGAGACTGCAATACTATTACATAGAGTGTATACTACTTATATCTGCCCTCATTGATCTGTCTGTATGTGCCTGATCATCAACTTACTTACCTTCACAACATAAATCAAAACAAATGAAAAAGGAGAACTGTAGAACCACAGCAAACCTAATCTAAAATTCTGGCTGATACCAGTGGCAATAATTATTTTCATGTTTTGGCAGATAACAATAAATGGAAATTATATGCTATTTTGCCTAGAAATATATTAAAGATAAAACACTAAAACTAAATAGTTTTAAATGCACCAAGTAGATTTAGGCCTCAAAACATTATAATGTACAGTAGTAAAAAAAAAAAAGGGGTATTCATTTTGAGATTTACTAAAGATTACATTTTTAAAGATCATTAGTATTTTTAGAATTTAAGTATATTTAAAGATTAACTAAAGATTTACCTTTTGCTGTAAAGTTAAAAGGCTATGTAAATGTAAAATAGAAAATTTGCACGCACAATTTTTTATTTTTGGTTTATTTTGGATAAATGAAAGAATAATTGAATAAATAGATTAACCGAATAGATAAACAAACAAACCAGCAAAATTTGCCAATAACCAACATGGTCCGGTATATCGTGCATCCCTAAAAGTCCATTTCAAGTTCAAGTTCATTTTTATCTGAAAAACAGCCTGAACCAAGAGTGTATACCAGGCTTCAAAAGTAAGGGAAAGGAAAAATAAAAGAGCATGCTAAAAATCAACTGCATAGTGCTGCATAAACCGAATGGGCTTATTTTAGACTAGAGTGTTGACATTTCAGACAAATTGTGGAGATGAAAGATTTTCCTGCATGTTTGAGCACACGTCATATGTTCATGCGCATGTATAAAATATCACAGTCTGAAAAAAACATACTTGTGCATGAAACTGAACAGAAAACCATTTGGCTGATTCAATAACCAGGCTAAGCAGAAGGAGAACTGTCTTGTCAAGTGGCTGTCAAACTGCTGATTAACATAAAAATAAGAAAATTTTAAAGCTAAAAAGAAAAAAAAAGGTCTGCCACAGCCGTCTTAACACATCTACATTACACTGAACAGAAGTGAGAAAAAAAGCATCTGGCTGCACAGCTTCAGGCTTCCTGACAATTATAGCTATGAATATGCGGATGGAGAGAATGGTGCAGAATATATTTGGACCAGCTCTAGCTGTCTGGTTGAGGGCTGCCCATGTTAAGTTTGGGAGGGCTGGGTATTTTAGGGAAGGGTTTAATAGCATAGAGTACAAAACTGGGGCACAGACTCAGGTTGGTGGCCGTAGCTGCCGGCACTGAGGCGCAACATGAATCACTCGAAAAGCAAGTGTTCGGGAAAATAGAAGAACCCTTTTGTAGGACTGATTCCAAATAAAATACAACATAACAAAGGGGGTACCTTGCATATACTATACCTCTGAATTGTTTGGCTGATCTAAATAATAAAAAGCTTTCCTCTTGACTTTAAAAACAGCCAAAAACCCCTTAATAAGTGGCTATGAATAGGTTTAGACTCAATTTGTGCTTTGGGCTTATTACCATGGGAAGGTCACATTGCTTGTGCAGACTTGTGTATTTTGTGTGTCTCAAGAGCCCCTCTATGACCAAAACAGCAAAAAGAGACAAAAAGCAAAAAGACAGTGGGAGCCTGCAGTCAAATTTACAGCTTATTCAAAGCAAAACACTATAATTATATCAGCCAGCAAGGGCTGATGGGCCATTTTCATACTGTAAATCACAATTTGATCACACCAAGTTAACAGAAACATGAGATCAGTTTTAGAGGGCATGAGACGTACACCATGCAGACTAAGTGCTTGATAACCCACAAAAGATACAGAAGACCTCACCTTTATTGTTGCATCCTCTGAGGCAGAGACTATGACGCTGAAAACAGGATGGAAAATGACTCTGGTGACAGGACTCCTGTGGCCGCTCAGGGCGTATCTCTCAGGAGGACGGGGAATCCATTCTTTGGGGTCTCGCTTCTGTCCAACTGGCCCACCTATATTAATCTCCTCTTTTGCCTCATTCAGTTTTGATTCCAATTCCATCACCTAGCAGAAGACATAATGGGTACGACTCATCATTACACACATCAAATAAAATGAATGAAAGTGACATTTTTGGATTACAGTTCCAGTAGTTGAAATGCAGCATTTCTAAACCCTAAATTTTGGCATTTCAGACCATGAATAGTCAATGAGTCAAGGCTGCCTCAATGGTTCTTAATAGGATTTGCATTAAATATGAAATGTGCAAACCTTTTTCTGTAATCTGATGACTGAGGTCCATTTCTTTTCCAAAAGACCTGCATACTTCTTATCCAATTCCTCATTCTGGTGACAAAAGATGACAAAAGCATTACACCTTAACACACAACACACCGCATACATTTTTTTATTTATTTTTTATCAAGATTTACATACGCCTAAAGTAAAAAAGAAGGCATATACCCATCACACCAGTGGCAACTGTAAATTCCCTCTAAATCCCTTCACATGGGTTAATCTCCAGCAGACAAAGAGAGCTTACCAAGAATACAATTACACAAACACCGCACTGTGAAAAATCAACTTTAGGGTGCCTGGCACCAACTAGACCTTTCATTTAATTCTCAAAATGAGAGATAAATGATTGCCATTGGCATTCTCTAATCCAAAAAACATTAAGTAGCAAACGCTGGGGGGGGGGGGGTATGAATAAATAATAATAATAATAAAATTAAATGCATAATAAATTAACACACACACACCATTACCTTCGTTCACAGCTTCAATTCATTCAAGGCTTTCAGTCTATGGTATGAAAGTATGAAAGGTATGAAAATCTAGAGGTATGAAAATCCAACAAAACTAAACCCTCGCATTTCCAATCCCTGACAGAACACATTTCTATGGTTGTGTTTTTAAATATGCAAACTCACAGTCTCAGCCGGAAAGCAATATGAAGGTTGCGTTTTCTGAAAAAAGTGTACACGTGGTTTTCACTAGACTGGTCTCTAACCATGAAAATGCAAAAGCATAACACAGCTCCCAGATCTATGGGTAATGAAAAAAAGGATGTGGCAGACAAAGAGAATAAGAGAGAGGCTCTTCTGGAGTAATATCAGAGACGTCCAGCAGAACAGGTGCTGTCTGTGTGATGAGAAGTGGAGTGAGAGGGGTCGTGTCATGCATCTCTGAGGGAGAGGGGCATTTAAAGCCTCTACAGAGGACTGATCCACCATCTGCTTGGACCCTCTGCTATGTGTGTTGGCCAATGGCTAAATACCAGTCCCATCAGCCGTGCCAGCCTCTGGACTGCCGTCAGACAGTCCATCAGCTCCCTCCAGCCCTCAGAGCACCACTTTTCATCTACAGTTATGCCTAAAGTCACAGACCCCTGCCCCCCTCTCAGAACATCTTAACAGAAGGAAGGATCGATGATGAAATCTCTTCTGCTAAATGAAGCTGTGTTAATAGCATTGTTTAATTAAAGAGAGCTTTTAGCACCATAGACCACCTCTCTGTCCGTAAATCTGATCAATAAATCATGCTCTTTCTTCTCTGTACAAAGGAAATAAACAGTTTATATTCTGTCCAACCAGGAGTGTTTTCAAACAAGAGCTTCTGCATGTGCCAAGAGCTCTCACATTTTCAGACAGCATATTACGGCAAGGCATTTTCTGCTGAATTGGAGTAATTCTCCTGGTCTACCCTGTGATAATGGAGAGACACAATTTAGTATGTCCCTTTATCAATGTGAACCATCGCTGAGACAACAGGGAGCGTCGGGCTTTACATCTGCCACACATCATAATTATCTCTGCACTGCCTTAATTCAGCACGTGTGCCGTCAGTCACAACCTCACACAGAGGTGCCAATTAAATGGGGAATACTTCAAATTAAGAAATATTGGTTTGACTGGGGTATAAATGGAGGGGGTTCCCACACTCACCACGTCTAATTCTGCCTCCTTTTTGAAAACTGAATATGCCTCTTCATATCCGTTGGAACGAAGGTAATCAGCTATCGCTCGGTTTCTGAAAAACAAAGAAAAGCCTAATTAGTTCTCTTGATAACCAGGCTTTATGATTGTGGATTAAGAAAAGAGCTGTGGTAAGAGCTTTTGACACAACTGAAAGAACATGTGTGTCTTGAGCACATATTCAGACACTGGTACACTGGAATTTCATTCGGGTAGACAAAAAAGCTATTCATGGAAAACTGCTTAAGCATACATGGAGAATCAGGCCTGATAATAAGAGGGTGTGGGAAAAAAAAAGACTGATATGCAAATTGCTCAATTTCTGTACTGGCCCAAAGATGTGCCTTTAAAAAAAGACATGAAGGTAGTTTATTGGATTAGCATGAAAACTTGCTGAAAGTAATCATTAGTGTACAAGTATTTTAGATATACCTACTTGCAAAGGATGAGATTTTGTAATGCATTATGTACCAATAATAATAATAATATTAGACAAGTATATGTATTTTAAAGAAAGACAATAATAGTAATAATAATAAACATTAATACTCATTACATTAATAATAATACTCCAAGGCTTTATTTCCATGTCAAAGACAGAAGCAAAGCCTTGCTATTTCAATAAAAAGTGCTAGGGGAAAAAAAATCATCATTTAAAGCTAAAATAAAATGTGTGCACATTCACAAAGAATAATTTTACAAATGCTTTCTGCTTAAATAGGGAAGGAATATGTCAGTTCTTTGAAGGAAGCCACCTCTGTTTTCAACACATTTTGAGCTGCTGAGTCAGCAAGACTGTGGTGAGCGGAAGATATTCATTGATAGTGGTGATAGTGAAGACAAAGAAGGCTGTCAGAGACGCCACTCTGCTGTCCAAACTCTTCCTGGCATTGTGATGGCAGAAGGATCCACAGCCGTGAGGAAACAAGGAGCCCAATATGGAAATGCTGTTTCAGCGAGACAGCCACATTGTTCACAATCTACTCTTAAATCAAAATCAAAATCAAGAGAAGATAAAAAGATAAAAAGAATTAAAATATCTATAGACCAGACATCAAAGAGTCTAACAGCACACACAGGGAGAGGAATAACTCTGGGTGTGGCACGGTTAAGAGATAAATGATATGATAATATATATATACAGTGTGTGTTTGGTGGATGGGCCAGTTCACTAAAGAGCAGACAATGAAGTGACCAAGCTCTGGCACCATATCTACTGCAGCCTGTGACAGTGAGGGTGCTCTGTTTAAAGTCAAGGTCAGCACGAGGTTACCTCTCATGTGACAAGCGACAGGAATGAACTACACACTGCTTCATGCTGGAGGGAACATATGAGTGTGTGACTCTACTCTGCTTTGAGTGGGACATGCTCGACAGATACCTTCCTAAAGAGACAGCTCAATAACAATGCTTCTTTGTGAGTCAAACAGAGCAGTTCAGCAAAACAAAACTCTGATGATTATGGCAATGTACATTCTGGAAAGTTTTGGGAGTGACAACCGCAGTTAAATGCAGGAGTGAATACCCTGAATTAGCATTCTGTGTGCATATTGTATACATTTTGACGATGATAAGCAAAGCCACATTTTGCTATTGCACTGCTGTTAACAATAAACATGGATGACAAGAGTTAAAATGTTAAATGAGGTACATTTTTAATAAATCCAAAAATAAAAATTCTCACTCTCATTTCCAAAATGATGACCTTCTTTCTTTTGCGGAACACAAAAGAGTATATTTTTAAAAAGCAGGGTGGCCGATGGCCGATATAAAGCCGATATCATTTTATTTATTTTAATTCATATTTAAGAAATTTGAAATAATTTGAAAATGGATTAAAAAATAAACGTGTAAAATAGGGATGCACCGATACCGATACTGGTATCGGGCCCGATACTGGTCTCCTGTACTCGTACTCATTAAAATGCCCCGATACCAAACGCCGATACCACACAGCATGTGATAAGCGCCATATTCAAAAAAAGAAACACAGACAACAGAACAACCGACAGCAGAAAGGAGTTAAGGATGTCTACTACGAAGTATATG